GCATAAACATGACTTTTTGAAAATTCTGGTTTTATTTATTAAAAACGTCTAATTTTCTCTAGAAAAATTATCTTGCCCTTCCAACATATTCTGTGTAGACTCTTTAAAGATATCTAAATTTATTGTTTCATGCTATCTGCAGCTAACACAAAGATTTTTCTTTTCCATTAAGAATAATACTTGTAAATGCTAATGATAAATATAGGGGATAATATTTTCTGGATCTGAACTCTTTGTTGCATGTTTCTGTATTTCTGACACCTAAACCATCTCTATTGTCTGTGCTCCTTCTAGTTTCACCTTCTTCAGTGGATTTTTCTCTTCAAATAGATTTTATGTTCATTTATACATTGTAAAGGGGTATTGCTTTACTTTTTAAAAATTGGAGATAAAACCTTTAATGTTAATTTAATTTTAATTATCAGAAATTTCAAGTGAGTATTCTTGAATTATATCAATTTTTAAAAGTTACAATTTTAAATAAACTTCTTTATAATGTCATACTAACTAAAATTAATGATGATGAAAAATATAACCGATGTGGTCCTTCTAACTTCTACAAAAAGATTTGAATTTATACGCTTCATGTTCAAATACAGGAAGCAATATAAAAATAAAAGACATAGATACTGAAGGTTATGGTGGCAATTGGAACCCTTATCAATGTACAACATGCACCAACTCAAATGTGATCTCATTTGTGCAAACTGTGTGAAGTTATCACTGTACTGCATGCATTATCAGTTAACTACATTTGCCTTGTTCATAGTCCTGCTTTTGTTGCCTTTCATTTGAACCTTTTTTTTTTTTAACACAGATGTGTTTATTCACAAGTTGCATTCAAATACGTCCAATAATTCCGGCTATTTCTTTGTACCTCCAACCGCAGGGGTTCTTAACCTTTATTATGTCATGGACTACTTTGGCAGTCTAGTGAAACCTATGCACTCCTTAGAATAATGTTTTTAACTATATAAAATAAATAGAAAAGAATGTTGAATTTCAGTGAGAAGTTAGTGAAAACAAAGATGTATTTCTTTTGTTGTTCAGTCGTTTCAGTTGTGTACAATTCTTCATGACCCCATTTGGGGTTTTCTTGGCAAAGATACTGGACTGATTTGCCATTTCCTTCTCACTTTACAATTCATTTTACAGATGAGGAAACTAAGGCAAAGAGGGTTAAGTGACTTGCACAGAGCCAGTAAGTGTTTGAGGACAGATATAAACTCAGGAAGATAAAGTCTTCCTGGCTTCAGGCCCAAAATTTTATCCATTACACAACCTAGCTTATGGACCCCTTCTTAGAATAATTTTTTTAAGTATGTAAAATAAATAGAAAGAAATGCTACATTTTAGTGAGAAGTTAGTGAAAACAAGGATGTAATTTTTTTCCCATCCAAATTCATGGAACCCTTGAAATCTAGACATGGACTCTTTGGAGGTATGTAAAACCCAGGTTAAGAGCTCTTGCCCTAGAGGGTGGAACTCTCCATAGTTTGGAATATTGTAGAATAAGTCAACCTCAGCATACCTAGAGAAATCAAATGACCCAAATAAAGGTAGTAGAAGAATTTTTGTTGTTGTTCAGTTGTGTCAAACTCTTCGTGACCCCATTTGGAGTTTTCTTGGCAAAGATACTAGAATGGTTTGCCATTTCCTTCTCCAACTTATTTTACAGAGGAGGAAACTGAGGTAAACAGGGTGGAGTGACTTGCCCAGGGTCACACAGATAGTATCTGAAGGCAAATTTGAGTTCAGGAAGATGAGTCTTCCTGATTCCAGGCCTGGCATTCTTATCCATTGTACCACCATTCCAAGTATGGGCTGGAGCAAATTCAAAGGCCTAGAGACTGGATTTTGAGTATTATGTGTGAAAAACAGTCATGAAGCCAATTAAAATGCATGGTCAGAGATGTATTGTCCTTCTAGTGGGATTAGGCTAGGAGCTGGTGAAACTGCCACGTGATGAAGCTTGGCATTTCCCCTACTCTGGGGGTCTCATCTGCCAAGTAAAATGGAGTGTCTGGTGACTGAAGTAATAGGGTATGTCTCTGCCTGAACTAGGTGTCTAGGAAGTGAAGCTGATGATCTTTAGTCAGTATGGAATCACTAGGAACCACAGACCCTAAGAATTTATTACAAACTTATCAAACACTAAAAAACTGAACACAAAAAAGAGAAAGAGTGCCGGGGGCCTATTGTCTAGATACCTGGATTCACATCCTGTCTCTGGGACCTTGAGCAAATCAATTTATGTCTCCAAATCTGTTTCCTTATTTTAAATGAGGGCGCTCCACCAGATAATAACAGCTAATATTTAAATAGCACTTTAACATCTGCAAAGTGATATATACTTACATACATATATATGTATATATATAGTAAAATCTCATTTGATCCTTATGATACCCCATGAAGAAGGTACTATTATTATCCCTATTTTGCAGATGAGGAAATTGAGGCTGAGAGAGGTTAAGTGAGCTGGTAAATGAATGTCTGAGACAGGATTAGAACTTAGTTCTTCTTGACTCCAGGTCTAGCACGCCAGTCATTATACCACATATCTGTCTCTAGATGATTTCTAAGGTGTTTTCCAGTTTGAAATCTGTGACCCAATGACAAATGATTGGATTACAAGGTCATCAATTTTGGTATTCAATAGAAATTTTCTGGGCAAGTCCAAGGAAGAAGATCTGAGTGAAATAGGAATGTAATTAGCATTAAATGTCAGTCACAATACGTCCCTGGAAAAATTTGACATTGCTACCTTTTAATTTGAAAGAGGTGGTGTAAAGGATGCTAGTCTTGAAATACATGTAAGCCACGTGAAAATATCAATAACTGATGGTGGGAAGGTGGGGAAGGGGAAGAGACTTCCAACTGAGAACAAGGACTCTTTAAACATGTCTATATTGGAAATGTGAAGGAAATAAGTATTTATTAAATGCCAGCTATGTGCCAGGCACTGTGCTGAGTGCTTTACAAATATTATCTCATTTAGTTCTCACAACAGCTCTCCTAGGTGCTATTGTTATTGTTACCTCCATTTTACAGAGGAGGAAACTGAGGCAAACATTGGTTAAGTGACTTGCCTAGGGTCTGACAGCTGAGGCCACATTTGAACTCAGGTCTTTCTGACTCAAGGCCTGGCATTCTACCCAGGTTCATAATAATGACAGCTTATATGGACACACATATATATGCATAAACATATATATACCTATAGAGACAGAGAAACTGAGTGAGAGAGTGCTTTAAGATTTGCAAAGCCCTTTCCACATATCTCTTTGATCCTCACAGCAATCCTGGGAGGAAGATGCTAGCAGTCTGACTTTGGGTAATTCCCCTTAACCCCCTCTGAATCTCAAAGTTTCCTTATCTGTACAAATAGAGATGATGTTAATATTTGCACTGCCTCTCCCTCCCAGTATTGTTGTGAGAAAACCTCCTTCTGAACCAGAGAGTGTTATATAAATGTGAGTTATTATTCATCAAAGTATTATTCAGGTCTCTGTGGATAAAGGTGTTCATCTCCATGGGCCTTCTCCTGAGTCACAAAGAGCCAAGTACTAAATTAAAAAGCCTCTTTTCAGAAAGCACCAAAAAGAAAACCAGCTGAAGATGCAGCTTCCCCTCCGACTGTGTCAGGTGACATGATAGAAAGAGCTCTGTATATGAAGCCGGGGCACCAGGCTTTGAATCTTGCTGTGACCCTGGTGAATTAATTACTTCACCTCTGTGTGTCTCTGTTTCTATATCTGTAAAATCACAGGGGACATGATCGAGCCCTAGACTTGGAGTCAGGAAGACCTGAGTTCAAATCTGGCCTCAGACACTTGCTGTGTGACCTTAAGCAAGTCACTTAACGTCTGCCTTGGTTTCCTCAGCTTTAAAATGGGATAATAATAGCACCTCCCAGGCTTGCTATAAGAATCAGATGAGATATTTGTAAAGCTCTTAGCACAGTGCCTGACACATAGTACAAGCTTAATAAATGATTGTTGAAAAAAATAAAAAAAAGATATCCAAAAAGGTCCCTTCCAGCTCAAATCCTATGATCCTGATTAGAGGTGATGTTGGTGGCTAATGATAGCTTTTATTTACATAGACATTTCAGGTTTGCAGGTCCTTTCATAAATGTCCTCATTTATAAAAATCTGTAGATACTATTAACATCCCCATTTTATTCATGAGGAAACAGAGGCAGAAGTGATGTGCAGCTGTTACTGCCAGCCAGATCTTCCTGGTTTCCAGGATGGCGTCCTGAAGTCAGACGGTCAATAAACATCAATTAAGTGCCGACTATGTGTCGGGCACCGTGCTAAGCACTGGGGATGCAGAGAAAGGCAAAGACAGTTCCTGCCCTCAAGGGGCTCCCGATCTAATGGGGGAGACAACACACAAACAAGTATAGACAAACAAGCTCTCTACAGGATAAATTGGTGATAGTCAAAGAGGGAAGGAAATGGCATTGAAGGGGATCGGTGAAAGGCTTCCTGTAGAAGGTGGGGCAAAGGATGCTAGTCTTGAAATTCTTATGATCCACATGAAAATATCAATAACCCGGTGGGGAGGTGGGGACTTGAGGGGAACCAGAGAAAGGAGGGGGCAGATTTGAGAATGGAGGAGAGCACTCCAGGCATGGGACACAGCCAATGCAAATGAACAGAGTCAGGAGATGGAGCGTCTGGTTCCAGAGCCAGGAAAGAGACCAGTGTCTCTGGAGAGCAGAGTACATTGTTGGGGAGGAGGGGGTGGAGAGACAGGGACAGGAGGGTGGTGTGTGTGTGTGTGTGTGTGTGTGTGTGTGTGTGTGTGTGTGTGTGTGTGACAGAGAGAGAGAGAGAGAGAGACAGAGACAGAGAGAGAGAGAGAGAGAGAGAGAGAGAGAGAGAGGAGAGAGAGAGAGAGAGAGAGAGAGAGAGAGAGAGAGAGAAAACGAACGCAAACCTGGGCAACAAAAGTAACTGTGGTTCTCATCTGCTGACTGTTCCTTTAAGAGCACCGTCCAGCCAACTTCAAGGCTGAGGGAGGCCTGTCTCCAAGTCACGGGACCAGAGAAGCCTCTTTCTTAGTGAAGGGAGCCATTGTGAGCTGCTGCAGTTACAGGTTGGTTTTCTCTTGTTGAATTGTAATGCTGTACAACACACAGATGGGTCAGGCTATCAGAAGAAAAGGAGCTCTTATTCTTTCTAAGTGGAATAGGCATTTTGCAAGACCCTGGGAACAAAGAGGGGACCTGTTTATGAGCCCTAGTCCTGCTGTACGAAACAAACTAAGTCAGAAGGGTAGCCAACTGCCCAGTTCAGCCTCTGCGCTCTAAAGAAACACGCCAGGCTCTGAGGTCCCCCGGGGCAGGGGGAGAGGGCTGAAAAGCAGGGAGGATCATGGGAGATCGTGTCCCTCTGGGTTAGCAGACTCAGGGTGGATCTCAGTGACTCATCTTTCTATCAAAGCCCTCCAAATTTAGGCCATCTCTTATATTACAGTTCAGTGTGGAAAGAACAAGACATTTAAACATTTCCTTGGGACTCAGGGCTGTCTGAGGGTGCAGCACCTGTTGGTTCAGTATCTGGCAAGATGGCCTTGGACCAGATGATCTCTGTCATTCTCTGGGGGACTTGGCCTCTCTTCCTCCTTTTCCCCCTTGCTGATAGTTGCACTGGGGCCAATTCCCGTCCCTTGCCAGGACAACAAGAAAGGTCACGAGTGAAAGAAAGTGAAATTTGTATCTGACAGCTGACACTTGCCACCTTCTTGCCATATGACCACAGAGTAAGCCATTAATAAATGCTTGTGGACTGACTGAGCTGAGCAAGTTCTTTGCCCCCTCTATTTGCTTGTAGAAGAAGAGGTTCAGAGTGAGTGGCTCAAAGCAGGGTAGTTACCTTTGCTCTACACTTACCTTCAACAGGTAGATCGGGGTAAAGTGTATTAAAAGAAGAATTGAGGAGGGGCCAGGAACTCTCCCTGCTGCTACTTACCCCTGTCCTGGGATAGCAAGTGCAGCTAAGAATCCATCAGAAAGTATTTACTGGGGGTAGCTAGGTGGCACAGTGAATGGAGCTCTGGCCCTAGGAGTCAGAAGGACCTGAATTCAAAAATGGCCTCAGACACTTAATACTTACTAGCTGTGTGACCTTGGGCAAGTCACTTAACCCCAATTGCCTCACCAAAAAGCAAAAAAAGAAAAAGTATTTACTGAGTATTCATAGAATACAATGCTGTGATATTTAGATCTGGCCCTAGATAGGCCTGAACTTACTGTGTAAAATGGGAGACTATTCAGGGAAATTATATAGCTGATACTTGATTATATATTATATTATGTTATGTTATGTTATGTTATATGTATTATTATATTATATATTATTATTATCCATAGTTTCCTCCCACACTTTAAGTAAGGTCCAGGACATAGTCAAAGCTGGGCATAGAGCTAATAATTATGACAGTGATGATGGTGATGATGATGATAACAACAATCATAACTAATATTTATGTAGCGCTTAAGGTTTGCAAAGCACTTTACGTACTTTATCTTTTTTGAGCCTTATAACAACCCCATGAAGCAGGTAGTATTGGTATTATTTTCCCCATTTTATTAATGAGGAAATTGAGGCTCATGACAATTAAGGTCCTTGCCCAAGACTACACAGCTAGGTAAGTATAAGAGAGGCACGATTTGAAAACAGGTCAGTTTAGCTACTCTATTCACTACTTCATGCTATATCTGAATGTCTCTGATAAAAGTGTCCCATAATGCCAAAATAAAAGTGGTTTTTGTATTATCTGACAGTTGGTTCAGAAAATGACTCCCGCATCAGCAGTTTCTAGCCTGTCAATTCCCTTCCCTTTCTTCCTTCCTTTTTTTTTTTTTTGTTCATGTTACGTGCCTGCCATGTCCAGGAACTTTTAAGGAAAATATTCATAATATGTTATATAGCTTCTGGGTAAACAAAGCCTATGCCTTTTTCTTTTCTCCTAATCTGGATTCATATTTTCCAGCATATGTTTCTTTTTTTTTTTGAATAGGCAGTGGGGTTAAGTGACTTGCCCAGGGTCACACAGCTAGTAAGTGTTATGTCTCTGAGGTCGGATTTGAACTCAGGTCCTCTTGAATCCAGGACTGGTGCTCTATCCATTGTGCCACCTACCTGCCCCCAGCATATATTTCTCTATCCTCTGCATGTCAGCTTTTATATTGTAGTCACCAAATATTAAAGTTAATGTTGCCTATGGAAAGTATATTTGAGTTATTCATGGAATTTCTCTGCTTCTTCATCATCTGCAAGAGAGGTTGGCACATAAACTACAGTCATCTTTGTGACAGTTTTTTTGCTTATGCCCAGCTTGAAAACTGCAAGGCAATATGACTGAGTATCCAAAGAAATGAAGTTTTGTGTTGCCTTTGGATGTGTCAATCCACAAACATCCATTACAGTTTTCTATAAATGTCAGCTATCATCATCATCATCATTATTATTGTTATTATTATTATTATTATTATTGTTATTATTACCACCTCTCCAAGAAGAACCCATGAGCCATCCTTCTATTTACTTTCAAGTGCCTTCCATCTTCTGGTTTCATTTCTAAGAAGAAAATTCGCATTGATATGATTCAGTTCTTCTCAATTCATCAATTCATTGGTCACTGGACAAGAGTCTTACATTTAGAGTTTTTTTAATTTATTTAGCACTTAATTTTTCCCTAGTTACATAAAAACAATTTTTAACATTTGTTTTGAAAACTTCAGGTTCTAAATTCTCTCCCTCCCTCCCCATTGAGAAGGCAAGCAATTCCATATAGGTATATAAACATATATAAATGTGTAGTCATGTAAAACATATCCATAATAGTCATGTTGTGAAAGAAAACAGACAAAAAAACCTTAAGAAAAGTAAAGTTTTAAAAAGAGTATGCTTCAATCTGTATTTAGTCACCATCGGTTCTTTGGGGATGGATTGCATTTTTCATCCTAAGTCCTTCAGAATTGTCTTGGATTGTTGTATTGTGAGAATGGTTGAGTCATTCATGGCTGATCATCTTACAACATTCCTTTACTTTGTATCCAGTATATTTTACTTTTATCAACCCATGCAAGTCTTTCCAGGTCTTTTTGAGAGCATCCTGCTCATCATTTCTTAGAGTACAATAATATTCCATCATAATTACCTACCACAACTTGTTCAGCCATTCCCAAATTGATGGGCATCACATTTAGAGTCTTAACAATTAATGTTTATAGATGGTCTGATGTGTGATTTCTCTGCCACTTTTCTCCTCTTCCACTGCAGACATGGAGGGGGACTGCATAGCACTCAGGGCCATTTTGTATTTTTCTAAGTTTCGTGGGTTTTCTTGGCCAGTGAATTCATTACTTAGTGGTCATCCTCCTGGTGATGTGCTTCTTCCCTCTGCCTCTTGGAAAGTAGACACAGTCTGTTTCAAGCACCATACTTGAAGCCTTTCTAGCTTGGTTGAGCCTCCTAAAGCTTATACTCTTCTGGCGTAGCCTCCACAAACACAGGGTTATCTCCATGCCAGGATAACCAATCAGAGTGAGATTTTGTGGGGTCATTTCTGAGTCAGATCAAAGACATTATTACTATGTCAGATCAAAGACCAAAACGATATTAAAAGAAAGACTAAAAGGGAGACAAGGACATGGCACATCATTTCTAACAGCTTCAATCTAACCTTTTCACAAAAAGCTATTAATGCACCACCCCACCACCTCAATGGGCATCAAGGTAACAATAGATATCGTCTTAGACTTAGAGACAGGAAGACCTGAATTTACAACTTACCTCAGATACTTCCTAGCTGTGTGACTCTGGATAAGTCACTTAATCTTTGTCAACCTCAGTTTTCCAACTGTAAAATGGGGATAATAATAGTACTCACCTCTCAGGGTTGTTGTGAGGATTAAATCAGATAATATTTGTAAAGCTCTGAGTACAGTGCTTGGCACATAGTAGGTGTTTAATAAATGCTTGTTTCCTTCCCTTCCCCTACCTCATATGTTTACTGTTAAATAAGATGACATGTAAAGTATTCTATAAATCTTAAAGTGTTATTTGAGGGGCGGCTAGGTGGCGCAGTGGGTAGAGCACCGGCCCTAAAGTCAGGAGGACCTGAGTTCAAATCCAGACTCAGACCAAACACTTGATATTTCCTAGCTGTGTGACCCTGGGCAAGTCACTTAACCCCAATTGCCTAAAAGCAAAAAAACCAAACAAATAAATAAAGTGTTATTTGAATGTTCACTACTGTTGTTATTATTAAAAATAGGAAATAGATTAAGAAAACGGCTATTACAACTTCCTGTAGAAGTTTAATTGACTTAATGAATAGACAAAAAAAAAAAAGCCCAGAAACCACTGTTTCACTCTGGGCCTCAGTTTCCTTATTCTTAAAATGAGAAGGTTAGACTATGTGATCTTCAAAACTCCTTCCAGTTTTAACACATCACGGGTTACATTCTGACATTCTAGAGCTTGTCACCCCTTCCTGTGCTAACATTTTAGGTACTGACTAGATAGTTCTGTGGTACTGTAATAATGACTTCTTCATCAGCTGGTGTAAAACTCAGGCTTGCACATCTCTGTAGATTTTCTGTCCTCTGTCGTATTGGAAAGTTACATACGTGATCAAATTATTAATTTTCATCCCTTTTGGATTCCTTCCTTGTCTGTGATGAAAGTATTGTCACCTCCTTGTCCTCCCTATTAGGCAATGTCTACAAGTCCACCTGGACTATTGGCAAGTCCCCAGATGTTGACTTTTATCCACAAAAGCCACAAAAATTGTTATCAGTGGTAGGAGGAATAGCCTTGGGTCTCATCATCATGATACATGCTTCTATAGAGCATTAAGGTTGCTGATAACCCTATTTAATCAATCAACAAGCATCTATTAAGTAATTACAATATGCCAGGCACTAGGTTAAGTGCTAGAAATACAAAGATAGCCCCTGCTCTCAAAGAGCTTACATTCTGAGGGGGAAGACTTCTATGTAAAGTGCTTTGCACACCTTAAAGTACTATACCGTGATGACGATGATTAAGACGATGGTGACAATATGGGTATGTAACCAACAGGTG